GGGCCCGGGTGCAGGCTCTGGAGGAGAAGGATCGGAGGGAGCGGAAGAAGTTGGCGGACGAGGAAGCTCTGCGGAAGATAAAGATCGCTGAGGAACAAATTGATCATTTACAGCGAAAACTCAGCGCAACCAAACAGGTGAATGTTCCCCCCTCATACCCCCTCATACCCCCTGTGGGGGCAACAGAGTGTAGAGGTGACACCCCGCAGCAATACAGGTTAGTGGTATCTAGGCTGCTCGGGGGTATTCGTGGTATAAAGGGGTATTATGGAGGGGGTATAGAAGGGTTCCTGTGGGGTAATAGTGGTATAGAAGGGTATTATGGAGGGGGGGGTTATTAGTGGTATAATATAGAGGGGTCCCTGTGGGGTATTCTTGGTATAGAGGGTTCCCTGTGGGGTATTAGTGGTATAGAGGGGTCCCTGTGGGGTATTAGTGGTATAGAGGGGTCCCTGTGGGGTATTCTTGGTATAGCGGGGTTCCCTGTGGGGTATTAGGGGGGGTATGGGTGCCTGAGGGGGGTCCCTGGGGTCCCTGTGGGGTATTCTTGGTATAGAGGGGTCCCTGTGGGGTATTCTTGGTATAGAGGGGTCCCTGTGGGGTATTAGTGGTATAGAGGGGTCCCTGTGGGGTATTCTTGGTATAGCGGGGGTCCCTGTGGCGTATTAGTGGGGGTATTCTTGGTATAGAGGGGTCCCTGTGGGGTATTAGTGGTATAGAGGGGTCCCTGTGGGGTATTAGTGGTATAGAGGGGTCCCTGTGAGGTATTAGTGGTATAGAGGGGTCCCTGTGGGGTATTCTTGGTATAGCGGGGGTCCCTGTGGGGTATTAGTGGTATAGAGGGGTCCCTGTGGGGTATTAGTGTTATAGAGGGGTCCCTGTGGGGTATTCTCGGTATAGAGGGGTCCCTGTGGGGTATTAGTGGTATAGAGGGGTCCCTACACGTGGCTTGCCCTCTGGTTGAGGCCCCTCCCCCCCTTATGATGTCACACAGGAGGAGGAGGCTCTGTTGTCGGAGATGGACGTCACGGGTCAGGCCTTCGAGGACATGCAGGAGCAGAACATCCGCCTGATGCAGCAACTGCGCGAGAAGGACGACGCCAACTTCAAACTCATGTCCGAGCGAATCAAATCCAACCAGATCCACAAACTGCTGCGAGAGGAGAAGGAGGAGCTAGCCGACCAGGTGCAGGGCCTGAAAACACAGGTACGCCCCCCAATCACATGACGTCCCCCAATCACATGACGTCCCCCAATCACATGACGTCCCCCAATCACATGACGTCTTCA